AGTGGTTGCGTTTAGTCTGGGTAACTGCTGGGACAGTAATCCAGCTCTGGCCCGTAGACCTTCCCCACTGACTGCCCACCTGGCAATTCTCCGGGCACCTCTAGACTGTTAGGACAGCCGGGGGGAAGCCTGTTTCGTTACAATCATCTTGTGTGCAAGAGCTGATGCCCCTAACCAATTGCTCTTCCCTGATTTTGATACAGATGCAGTTTTCCCCTGATTGTATCTTCCTGCACACGGAGCTTTACACCTGGCTGCTGATGCCTGTCAGGAAATAGGCTGAGAGAATACACTGGCATTTCCACTCAGTCCCCTCCTCCAGAGTTGGCAGTGGGGGAGGAAAAAAAGGAAGGCAGGATGGAAGCAAGCTCTGGAAAGAAAAGTAGCGGAGAGGTTTCAGTGCTAACTGCTAACAGCTATCCCATGAGGTGCTCAAAGGCATTTCAAGTTTCTTTGCCTTTAAAATGAACAATCCAACATTTACTCCCTATTGTAAAAATCTACATATGAAAATCAATTCCTTCACATTTTGCCAAACATTTAATATGTTCTTGAAGTCACAACAACATCCCAATTTTTTTATGCTAGCCACATTCCTTTGAAAATGAATGTAAAGTTGACATTTTACAACTCATACTTAGAACGTACTTTAAATTTATTTTCCTACTGTCTACTCAAATAATGTAAGTGAAATAACAGTTCAGTGGTTATAAATACATATATGGAAGAAGTAGTTAAATAGAAAGACAAAGATCAAGGAATGTACAATGGAAATATGGACATAATAATTATGCAGAACCGTGACAAGGACACACACAAAAGAAATCTTGCCACAATTTTATGGATAGCTGACTGCAGTTATATCCTTCTATGCACTTAACTGTTTCATGGAATAAATTAAATATTTTAGTAACCTTGCTAGTAATACATATGGTTAGAGAAGTGTAAATTTTAAAAATGACCACAAAATAGATTGCAAATTGCAAAGAGTTCCGCAGAGCTCCTGTCATTGGTAGAGCCAATTCAAGTGTCCAAAGCAGAGGAAAGACCAGGAGAATAGTATGAATAAAAATTAGCATTTTTTTTTCTTGTCATCAAATTACCCGATTTTCTAAATATAGATGTGCCTGCAAAGGAAAAATGACAAAATTGTATAAAAAGCTAAGAAGACCTACACATTAGTTTTATTGTCTTCAGAAGGTATTAGATTGTTCAAATTCTATGAAAAATTCATGGGCTTGGACCAACAAGATGTTCATTCCAGCCTTCTCTGCACCTTCCCACAGTACTTAGCACAATACTTAGTTACAATATGTATTTGGTAATGTCTGGATTTACTAGACAATTGACTTAAATTCTTTTTTTTTCTGTCATTTGAAGAATAAAAATGGTTAGACACATATTTCCCAGAGGGTGAACTACATGATAGACAACAACATTCTATACAAATAAATCTGTGAATTACCTTTTTAACCACACACACACACACACACACACACACACACACACACACACACACACACAGTTAATGTCTTTAAGCTATAAGAGAAGAGTATAAAACTAGAAAGGCTAATAAAACCTCAGAATCACAGTCCTCTGAATCTTGTTTTTACCCAGGTCACTAAATTTCACTATATTTCCCCTGTTCATAGTCAGAGGGAACTGTGTGAAGTTAGCAAAGATCGAGCTTTGGGACCCTTACTTGCTGCAGCTTCTAGTTGTGCCAGGAGTTGCTGAGAGCTAGAGAATATCATAGATGGGGAAAGGAATCCAGAGAGCAATTAGGTAGTATTTCTGGTAAGTTTCCTTGAAAAGATCTTGGAAGACAAGATCCAAATCTCCAAGCCTTCATCAATTTGCTTTATTAATTCACTTTATTGCTTTAAATAAATAACCACTTTGAGGCCTGATTTCAAAGAGACTTTTCTCCCCCCAAATTTTATAAGCCCTAGGCCCCACAGAAGCTGAATCTGTCTCTGTTGGCAGCAACTAGAAGACAACCCACAGAGCATCATTGACCAATTGTGTGTGAAAAGCACTAATTCCAGTTGAAAGGATGTGCCTGGACCCATCTTCCACTCATTCCCCTGTGCGTTCTCCCTCCTACTCACACATCCCACACGCTTGCTCATCAATTCTGTGTCAGATCACCCACCTTCCTCTGAGTTTTTCCACCCACCATCCCCTACAGATTTGCTAATACCCTTTCCTATCAATCCTCTCTCCCAGGGAAATGCTAACATTTCTGACAGCATCTCCATGGGGATGAAGAGGAGGAGGAGTTGCAGGGAAAGAACAGGTCTGGGAAGGCAGAAGTCACTGAGCCATGGCTACAGCAGATGTTCTCAGAGTGGCTAGGGGTGACAGTGACAGGGAATATGGGGTAAGAGAAGGTTTGGAATAGTTACGAGTTATTGCCTGAATGGCTTCATAAAGTATAGTGTGCACTGAGTGTGACCACCTTTTTAAAGGTAAAAATATTTTTTTAAAAACCTCATCAACCTTAAAGGTGCTGTGATCCAAGAGAATGTACCAGAAAACAAAAAACAACAATAAAAAGTGCACCCTGTGGTTATGATTACACAAGATATGTGAGTGAATATGGAAATGATGTGCAAGGGTGAGAATAGTCATATAACAATTAATGTGATTATGGATATAACTTTTTCCTAAAATTCTCTAACATTGTCATGCTGTGTTTTCCCTTTTTCTCCCTTCCTTCCTTCCTTCCTTTTTTCCTTCCTTCCTTCCTTCCTTCCTTCCTTCCTTCCTTCCTTCCTTCCTTCCTTCCTTCCTTCCTTCCTTCCTTCCTTCTTTCTTTCTTTCTTTCTTTCTTTCTTTCTTTCTTTCTTTCTTTCTTTCTTTCTTTCTTTCTTTCTTTCTTTCTTTCTTTCTTTCACAATAAACTTTCCTACAGTTGTGATGGACATTCAAAATTTAAGCTGTTCTGGGTCCTTTGTCTTATATGTCCACTTAAACTTGGTACTGTATTATGCCATGTTATTAAAAAGTGGAACTGAGGCAATATGGAACACAGAAAGAGTATGTCCTTTTAAGAGATGATCTTTTCGTATCAACACCTAAGTAAATTACATTTTTTAAATTATCAGTGAAATATATGGTGAGGATGAGGTCAGTGAAAAAGTAAAGGCAACCGTATACAATATGAAAAAGCATCCCAGGAAATTTTGAATCACACCCAGCATCAGTCCCTAGTTGAGAATCACTGCTCTAGAAGATGATGATGGGTAAAATTGATTATTTTGGTTCTAGAAGCTGTGCATGGGCTTACACGGATATTCAATAGAATATTGAATATTATGGAGAGGTAAAAAAATGTACTATGTATAATATTCCATAGTAATTTTTACCTCTGTCGGAATGGTCACCTGTAACTGCCCTCCCCTGCTGGCCTGATTACCCACAACTTCCCTCTCTTGTAGGCCTGGTCCCTCCCCATTTCTCTCCCCTGCTGATCATCTTGTGGCAGCCATCTTGTGTCCACATGGGCAGCCATCTTTGACCACATGGGGACAGCCACCTTGTGTGTTGGAGTGATGGTCAATTTGCATATTACTCTTTTATTAGATAGGATAGAGGCCTGATGCATGGGTGGGGCTGGCTGGTTTGCCCTGATAGGTGTCCTGGATCAGGGCAGGGGTTCCCTTGGGGCATGGAGCGGTCTGGGAGAGGGACCTGTGGTGATTTGCAGGCCAGCCATGTCCCACTCCCCATTATGCCCCAAGTAGAGGCCCTGGTTTCTGGGATTTATTTATCTTCTATAATTGAAACTTTGTAGCCTTGAGTGGAGGTCAGGGTCAGCCAGGGTTGGTGGGAAGCTTGGTTTCTTCCATTGCTGGGGGTAATCCAAGCCTCCTGCTCTAGCTCTGTGGCCACTGCCATTTGGTTGGGTTGATTTGCATACTTGTTCTGGGTGTAGCAGAGTGATGGTCAATTTGCATGTTTTTCTTTTATTAGTATAGAGAGCCAAGATATGGTCGCACTAGGTTTCCATTGAGAGGTGAATGCCATTAGAAGAAACAAGTTATAGAAAAAGTATAATGTTATTTTCAGCATAAAACTAAATGTTAAAAAAGAAGAATTCTAATGACAAAGGCTGATCAAAATGCAACTACCTTTAATATGATCACATTCTAATGTAAATATAATCAAAGGAAATGAGTTGGTTGAGATGTAGTAATGGTTCCTTACATAGAAATGGGTCACACATAGAATAATTCAAATTGAAATAATTATAGTCTCTTAAAATGTGGGAAGTAAAATTATAAAATGATATTAATCTGACAGACTTACATGGATATTCTATTATGATAAAGGTACTTATACTCCCTAAGTTTTCAGTACCTAAACCACTTTAATCAGGTATGACTTGTTTTTCTCTTCTGAAGATGCAACATCATATAATAGTGTAGGACATTTTGTCATCTTGTTCTGACAAATAACCAATTCACCTTTTTGCCCAGCATATTCAAAAGTATTGATTTTACCAAGTGAACCCAGATATGTGTCACACTTATCCAATACAGAATCTTTTCCTTGGAAATGTAGTTTGAACATCAATCAGCCTCTTGGCCTTCCACCTGTAATTCCTATTACCACTGTCTGTCAATGATTAAAGCTTGTCTATTTCTCTAAACAAGTTGTTTTTTAAAACTGAAATACATAGCGATTCCTGTGAAAAATTGTTTTTTTGGGAAAGTTTGCAAATGTTCACGATTAAATTTCTTCACTGAAATTACTTTCCTGGATTGAAAACTACTTGAAGTATTATAAATCCACCTTTCAAAGGCCTCCAGGTATTTTCTTTTAAAATATATTCCCTGAATGGTAATATTATCACTTGTAAGCCAAACTCCAGTTTGAGGAAAGACAACATAAAAAGAAATTCAAGCTGATCTGCATTGTTACATGGGCCTTCAAATGCAGCAGAATGTATTGTCTCTGGCTAAACTCAATGCAAGGCATAGAATGACACCCACCTTGAGCTGCAGGCCTCTTGGGATAAGAGTTTTTGCTGGAAGGCTTTTAATGTGTTGGTAGACATAAGAGGAGAATTGCTCCTGCTCAGCCTGTAATTGGGGGCCAAGTTTAGAGAGATGATCTCTGTTGCTTTTGATAGCTGTCTGCAATTCATCAATCAGCCTGCTCACCTGAAGGGGTTAAATTACAAGAGTTGTTAGCAAGAAGTAATTGTTGATGTCACACCTATTAGATTTTGACTACCTGGTTTGATAAGGGGAAAATTACTGGAATACAAGGATTTCCTTTTCTTCAAGTAAAAAGACTAGAAGAGGTATACATTCCTTCATCAACAAATTTTATTGATGGGAAAATTTATAACTTTTGCACTTCAATAATATGAAACAGATAGTCATTTACAATTGCTGAATGAAAAATAACTCTGATTATAAAAAGAACATATAGCTAAAAAATTTGCCAAGGACTTTTAAACTACTTAACATCACAAAACCTCCTTAGCCTTTAAATAACCTAATATATGTGGCAACAACATTTAAATTTATTACATGTAACTTCTTTTTCAGAATAATTTATTTTTACCATACATATATATAAAATTTAAATTTTAATATTAATTTCATTAACATTTGTTGGCTTTTTAAATGAATAAATATGCTATCTTCCTTCTAAATATCCAAAATATAATTTTCTAAATTTCTGAAATACAATTTTCCAAAATAAGCATACTTCAAAGGCAATGCTCTATTCTAGACAATATTTTGAATACATATCAATTTCTGAATAATGCATAGAACTTTTCCAGAGACAGCAATAGATTAGCAACATGTGCCCTTTATTTTAAAATTTCTAAGTTTATAATCACAGTTGTTCCAGTCAAGCCTTATGAAGAAAATCAAGTGGTGGGCTGGATTTGGCCCCAGGATTATAGTTTGCCAACCCTTCTTTTAAATACATATATTTTCTCTCCTTCATTTCCTTTCTTTCAAGTAATACACTAATTTAAACCATCATTTATCATCACCCCTTGAGTTATCAAAATAACTACTAAGTAGTTTCCCTGTCCATGGTCTCTTTCTTTCTAATTCTTCTTGCCATCTCAACTGGATTAATGTACCTCCAATAGCACATTAAACTTCCAGTTGCTCCCCCCAGTTCCTTGTGTTTGGTATTCAAGATTCAAGATCTTTTCTTACTTTCTGGAACAAATTTATTTGCTTTCCATAAAATACTGTTAGACCTTTAAGAAAATTGTAACATTTAAAATATGGAAATGACCCCATATTAGTCAATGTTTTCAGCCTAATCTTCACTATTCTACCTTTTAGCAGTGTTATCATTAAAAATGATGGGTAATAGCCTGGCTGGAATAGCTCAGCATTTGAGCATCAACTTATGAACCAGGAAGTTACGGTTCAATTCCTGGTTAGGGCACATGCCAGAGTTACTGGCTTAATCCCCAGTGTGGGGCATAGAGAAGTAAGACAATCAATGATTCTCTCTCATCATTGAGGTTTATATCTCTCTTGCCCTCTTCCTTCATTTCTGAAATCAATAAAAATATTTTTTTAAATTGTGGGTAATAGCATTTCTCATTCCCAAACTAAAGACCAATACAGGCCAGCTTACTTGCTTGTACAGCTTTCTGACAAAATTAAAATCCAAGAATCAAAGGCCTTAAATAGCAAGATTCCATTTCTGGAAAGCACTAATCCTCTCTGAGCTTATTTCTAGGTTCTTATGGTTCAGGAAGATATAATTTTATGTAATCTTTAAAGTACACTAAGTATGCAATGTATTTTGCTAGTCAGTAATACTGTTCTCTTTAATTTTATATAGTACATCTTGTGTTATAGAAAGCCAGAAAGAGAGAGAGGGAGGGAGGGAGGAAGGGAGGGAGAGAGAGAAAGAGAGAAAGAGAGAGAGAGAGAGAGAGAGAGAGAGAGAGAGAGAGAGAGAGAGAGAGAGAGAGAGAGGAGAAGGAAGGAAGGAAGGAAGGAAGGAAGGAAGGAAGGAAGGAAGGAAGGAAGGAAGGAAGGAAGGAAGGAAGGAAGGAGAGAGAGAGAGAGAGAGAGAGAGAGAGAGAGAGAGAGAGAGAGAGAGAGAGAGAGAGAGGGAGGGAGGGAGGGAGGGAGAAGGAAGGAAGGAAGAAAAGAAAGAAGTTTTTGGCTTTGATTTGAGAGCATTTTTATACATGACTGATTTTACTGTCACAATTCATAGCCTTTCACTGATAGGGGATTTCATGTGACATCAGAAATCAACCAACCATACAACTGATGATGTCATTTGCAGTTTAAACTAAATGACTGTCATTGGTTAAAGCCTTAAAAGTTTCATTTACTATGAATTCTTCACTACTCCAAAAAGTCTATAATTTTTGCTATTTTCATTGGCATAATGATTATTTGTTAATGTATGTCAAATTTCACTTCACCAGTTATCACCTTTTTTAAACAAATGACTAAAAATCATCAAGTTAAATGTTTTAGAAAAATAAGATATTTATTAAACATATTAGAAAATACATGAAAAATTCCTGAAAATATAGGAAGAATCCTACTAAAAATGTGTTGATAAAAATTCTATCCAATTTTATTAAAACTTTGTAACTTTACATATTCATAAGGTCTTTTAGCCTCAAAGTGTGATATTTTGTTCTCAATTATTGTGATAACTTGTTCCCTTTTAAAATGACCCTAAAGATGAACTAATTCATAAACCAAAATAGAGTAGGTAATACAATATTTCTGAATTACTTTACATAATATATTTTTTTTTCAAATCACAGATGTTACTAAAAGGGGGAAAATGTTCTTTAAAATTCTTCATCATGATCTTTTTTCCTGCAAATCCCCTTTCCCCCCTCTCTACAAAGGCAATGTGAATAGGAGTAAAAGAAGACAAAACTTGACCTTTTGTGATCCCAGCATTAATGGGTCTGTTCATAATTCAATCTATGTGTGTGTGGGAGCATCCATGTGGAAACATAGAGGCCCAAGAGACATAAAGCCTTTCCCTTTAAACATTATCTGACCCTATCAGTCCTATTCACAGAAGAAGGCTTACGTATGCATATGCTGAAAAAATGCACCATCTCATTGTGCAGTGGAAAGCCTACACATTCTACTCCTCACTCTCCGTGGAAATTCTGCACGGAAGTGATACTTGTTCAGAATTTGAGAGAGTGACAAATGACCAGAAAATAACAAACAAACAAAAATTGAGTGTTCTGAGGAGGAAACAAGCTACACTTCTGAAAGAATGCAAATGCACACCTGTCTGTAAACATAATGTAGGTTTTTGCATAAAACGTAGGGCAGTTTGGTCATGTTTTCTAATACATTCATGCAACTCTTGAATTTAATTATAATTCTCAAGATGATTTGGAATCATTATACAATATTTTGTTTGTAATCATTCTAAAATGCATACATATTGAAGTTGTACATTCTGAGCCATACATTCTGAATACTGTACTTTGGCTACAATGAATAACTCCTGGAGAAGTTCCTGGATTTTATATTGATGAGATCAAAGTTCAGCTGCCTGCCTGAATTATCTGTGGCCTTGAGTCCATCTATGTTAGTATGGAGGACACTAGAGAACTTTGCACTGAACTGTCACTTGAAGTCAGTACTAAGGGCAGCAGGCTCTATGTTAGGAATGACATCTTGGCATGTAACATACAGCCAGGATGGGCTCAAAGCCAGGTGAGCACTTAAAGTGAAGACCAAGCAACTTCCTACTAGTAATTCACAACATAATTAAGAAGAACCAGAAAGGGGCATGGAGATGAAAATTAGTATTTTATTTTATTTTTTAAGATTACATTTTATTTTCTTATTTAATATATTTTTTATTAAATTATTATTTTTGTACATATACCCTTGCCTCCCCACCTTCCATACGTACCCTCCCTCCCTAGAGTTTTGTGTCCATTGGTTGTACTTATATGCATGTATACAAGTCCTTCGGTTGGTCTCTTATCTCCCCCAGATCTCCCCAACCTCCCCGCTGTAATTTGACAGTCTGCTTGTTGCTTTACTGTCTCTATATCTATCTTTTGGTTCTTCAGTTTATAATGTTCTTTATTATCCACAAATGAGTGAGGTCATGTGGTGTTTTTCTTTCGTTGACTGGCTTATTTCACTCAGCATGATGTTCTCCAATTCCATCCAGGTTGCTGCAAATGATGAGAATTCCTTCTTTTTTATGGCAGCAGAGTATTCCATTGTGTAGATGTACCATAGTTTTTGGATCCACTCATCTGCTGATGGGCACCTAGGCTGTTTCCAAATCCTAGCTATTGTAAATTGTGCTGCTATGAACATAAGGGTGCATGTATCCTTTCTGATTGATGTTTCTAGCTTCTTGGGATATATTCCTAGGAATGGGATTACTGGGTCAAATGGGAGTTCCATTTTCAGTTTTTTGAGGAAGCTCCATACTGTTCTCCACAGTGTGGTTGCACCAGTCTACATTCCCACCAGCAGTGCATGAGGGTTCCTTTTTCTCCGCAACCTCGCCAACACTTTGGCAATGTAGCAGGATACAAAATTAATGCCAAAAAATCTATGGCATTTCTATACACCAATAGTGAACTTGTAGAAACAGAGACTAAAAAGGCAATCCCATTTACCATCACACCAAAAAATTAAGATACCTTGGAATAAACTTAACTAAGGAGGCAAAAGACCTATACACGGAAAACTACATGACACTGAAAAAAGAGATAGAGGAAGATGTAAACAGATGGAAGAACATACCATGTTCATGGATTGGTAGAATCAACATCATCAAAATGTCCATACTTCTCAAAGCAATCTATAGGTTCAATGCACTCCCAATTAAAATATCAATGGCATACTTCACTGACCTAGAAAAAACTCTTCAAAAGTTTATTTGGAACAACAAAAGACCCCGAATTGCCACAGCAATCCTGAGAAAGAAGAGTAAAGTAGGAGGGATCTCAATACCAGATTTCAAGCTGTATTACAAAGCCACTGTTTTCAAAACAGCCTGGTACTAGCACAAGAACAGACATATAAATCAATGGAATAGAATTGAGAACCCAGATATCAACCCAAATCACTATGCTCAGTTAATATTTGACAAAGGAGGCACAAACATACAATGGAGTCAAGACAGTCTCTTCAATAAATGGTGTTGG